GCTGAGGAGAAAGAAGTTAATATGGTAACAGGATCAAAGGCTAAGACAATCCAATTGAGACACGACGGCAAGAAGATTAGTCAATTTTGAAGTGGTCAATACTTGGGATCGGGGATGGGACACAAAACAAAATGCCAGATACAGGGGCAGTAGGTCTCAATTATGTACAGTACTTGCTTACATGCAACTTGTTCCAGTTTAATTACAGGGGACCCCTGTGTGGACACAGTTACTGTTTTACAACTGGTTGCCCTTAGGGCAAGCTAGACCGATATAAACGAAGTTTAAATAGACTTAAGTGTGTCTAAACACAAAGTTGTACCAATTTAACTAAATTGATTAAAAATAACACTGGTGTAACTCTGTGGGTAGACCAGATCTAAATTCACTTCTCTCTCTCCCTCCCTCATTCTCTCTCAGTTGGCTGGTATTTTGGCCAAGATGATTTTATATATGTATAAAGTCTGTCTATACCCACATTTGATAAAGATACACACTTACGTATAGTGTGAAGCTTAACTTTCACATTTTATGTCTCTTATTTTAAATTTTCTACCTTAATGGAAAAAGTAACCTTAAATGTCCTATTTTTAGCTTAAAACTTAACGTTTTTGTTTACTGCCAGCCATTTTTGTGTTTGTGTACAAAAACGTTTGTCAGCAAACAAAAGCAAACTCATTTACAATTTTACAAAAAAGCAAAGAGTGGTATCAAAGAGACAGGCTGGAGCAAGCAATATAGTTAAGGTTGCAACTTGACTTCATTATAGCCACTATTTTCATTTGCTTCTACGTTTTTTTTTTTTTAAAGTTTCCTTTTTTTTTTTTTTTCTCAATCCAAAGGCTGATTTACTTTTGAAAAGTTTGAAATAAATCCATTCTATTATTTGTGAACAGGAGATGCTTGAATGTCCTGCAGAAGAAAAGTTGGAGCCAATGAGGAGAATCAGTAATTGGGAGACATGGGATGCAGTCCTGGTCCATTAAAGCTAATGGAAAAACTCCAGTTGATTTCAGAGGGGCCAGAAAGTCAGTCAGGGTCATAAAGAAAGGTCTTTTGTACGTGCTTTGGATCAGCTGAAATGGGAAAGGAATGAGAAAGAGGAAAGACAGAGGGGAGTGGTTTGCATTAATCTCAATTACAGATTACCAGAGCTTTGTTCGTAGTGATGAGGGAGAGGCAGGGTTAATAGTTTTGTTGTTTCTATTTTTTTAAAAATCACCAAAAAAAAAAAATCCTTTCACATTCTGAAGGTAAGAGTCAAAGCCACAAAAGCAAGGAAATATTCAATTTCTTGCCTTGTCCTCCTTTAGTCCCTTCATTAGCTTCCCATCACCTACCAGCACAAGTTTACACTGCTATACTACCTTGCCACTTCACCCCCCCACACACATAGACCTGTTTCCATCCATGACCATTTCCTCGGACCAGGCCACCTGATGAACTCCCCCTTTGTGTCCTCACTTCACTCACTTCTTCTGGCCTGCTTCTCTGATGCTCCTCCCTGATCCTCTCTGCCGTGCCTCCATCCTCTTCTTCTAATCCCTCTTGAAACACACTTCTTCCAGGATAGCTTTACCCTATGTGATGGAACTACATGGAGTGTGCCCCATTCCACTGATGAGTCACACTACCTTGTATTGTTCCCCTCTTTGTCTGCACATTGTAATGTGCCCAGGAAGGACCTAGCCTTATTTTTCTGTCTAAAATGCCTAATGCATTTTGAGCTCTATACAAATTAGAAATAATAATAAGTTCAGAGTTAAGAGCAAAGCTTGAACTCCTGGATATCACAAGGATGTCTTTGACATTAGAGAGCAGAATTTCGGGCCTTTGCTGTTTTTGTAACATTATCGTTAGAGACCAGCCTGAATAAAGAATCCAGATCCAAATACTCCATATTCAGCTCATGCAAGTGATCTTGCTTCTATAATGGAGTGAATTAAATTCCAACATTTGAACTCAACCCCAGTGCACCCTTCCACTCAACACAATATTAATCACAATCCAGTTCTGAATTGTGGAGCTTGGACTCGCGTAACTGATGTCACGTAACTCACTCTGATAATGTCCGGACCATTGATTTATGTAGCAAAGGTGTTTTAACATTTCTTTGCAAATCTCATACACAGCTCTACAAAAGCTTTTCCTCTAATAAAGTGTTTTCCTTTCCATTTTTTTCTGGTTTGACATCTGTTGGGAACTAAAGTGTGACTTATAATAAAATAGTTTTACCAAAAAGGCTGTGTCTACACAAGTTGCACCTTCCAAACAGAAAAACCCTTTTTTTCTAGTAGGATTACTGATTAACGTTAAATAGTTCTGACACCATAAGTGAATGTTTATTCTGGTATGAATGAACTGTAGGAAGTAATTTATGTGTATTATTGTGCATTGCAAACAGACCTGTTTGCTACATAGATTATGCTGTTCTTTTGAGCCCTGACCTTGCAAGTTTATATTGAATTCAGTGAGGCTCTGCATGAGTATATGGGTTCATTTGCACATTGTTACTTGTAGGATTGGGGCCTTGATCTTTCCCATCACCTAATTCATTTGGTAGTTTACTCATAAATATATATTTTATAGACAATATTTGTTATCCTTACAGCTCCAATATACAAACAATAATACAAAATGCACAACTTTCTAATTTAAAGTTTATATATAGTCAAGTGTGTGTGTGTGTGTGTGTGTGTATATATATATATATATACTTATATATAAAAAAACAATTTGTTGCTTTTCAGTAGTCAATTTGTTTGTTCATTATTCATAATTGTTATGTACTAGAATCAGCATAGAGTAAAATATGAACCTTAAATTTTTAAGAAAATATTTGTCTGTAAAGTCCTGAAATTTTTCCAAAGCTTAATTAGATGGATCACATTGAATCCATTATGGCGATATCTTGAGGCAACATAATTAAATTATTTGGAAAGGTAATCAGTCTTTGCATATATCACAGCAGAGTAATTGAATCACTGTAAGATCTAAATATATATTATGTGTGTCTCCGGTTTTCTTTTCAATGTACACTAAATTCATCCCACTTGTAAAATCCATTAAATAAATTGGTCCCAAAATGTATATGGTGACAAAGATAGCTAATGCAGACATACATGTTTGTGCAAACCCTCCAGTGCATGTGTGCATGCTAGGGATGCACATACATATATTTGTGTGTTTTTTGAGAAGTGCTAGGGTCAGGGACGGCTCTGTTTTTTGCCGCCCCAAGCATGGCAGTCAGGCAGCCTTCGGCGGCATGCCTGCAGGCGGTCCACTGCTCACGCGGATTCAGCGGCGTTTCTGCGGGTGATCTGCCGGTCTCGCACCTTCGCCGTACCCGCTGCCGAATTGCCACCAAAGCCGCGGGACCGGCTGCCTCACTGCCGCTCTCATGACGACCGACATGCCGCTTCTTCCCCCCTCCGCTCCCCCCGGCTTGCCACCCCAGGCACGAGCTTGCTGCACTGGTGCCTGGAGCCGTCCCTGGCTAGGGTCATACTGCAAAATGTGTACATATAAAAAGGGGAGAAGAAGAGTTTAGTGTAAGACCAAAGAAGAATAACACAAGTAATTTTGTACTTTATTCTACTATTAAAGATTATTAGGCAATTGGAATATCACTCTAGTTTTTAGGCATAATTGACTCCGTAATAAGACTCCCTCCTATGCACCGTCATACATTTTCTTTAAATTTCTAAGTGACAGTGCTACAGCAGGTATCTGGTCTGTCTATCATGTATAGGTATTTGTACCATGCTCATCACAATGGTATCAGAATGTCTTAAGAAATTAAGTAAATGCAAGCAGGTACTCTCTCTCTATATATAGAAAGTCCTTTCCTATCTTGCTGTGTACGTGCACCTGGGGGATTGTTTCCCTTAATTGTGAGAGAGATGTGGCAAAGACAGGGGGTCTTTCATTTTGTTCAAATGTAGATAAGACTCTTAATTCCTGTGAAAGATATTTCCAGCTGCCAATACATCTTGTGTCCCTAACTTTAGTGTCTTACATTTTCTGTTGCTTGCTGTTGAAATATAGAAAAGGTAATTAAGTTTATTATCTGTATCCTAATGTGGATTCTACTTTACAGATTGCTATTGTGCAAAAAGAGAGAGGCCATTAGAAAAAGGCATTGTGACTGGTCTTGATTATTGCACATGCCTTGAAAAGTAATAAAATCTACAGTATGTACAGTTTGCTCAAAGGACCTGTTCCTTTGCCCAGGGTTTAGCTTGACAGTCTAATAGCATCAATTAAGCAATTTACAGATGGAAGATAATGCTTGTCTCAAAAGTAGAGACCAGGAGGCTAAAGAATAGTATGTTTTATTCTTTGACACCAAGAATATGTAGAGACCTACTTATCCTACTTCAACGCTTTTTATTTTTAAAGCTTCTCAAAACAACACCTGCTACTATTTGAGAAGTTTCTTGTTTTAGAAAAGTAGTAAATTGATACAGGTCCTAATTTATCATTTTAAAGCAGAACACAGGACTAGACAACTTCAAAACATTTTTCTCAAGCACAACATATGTACTTTGGGCCACTGGCCCATAAGTAAGATGGTGAATGGTTGATAATTAGTTTAAAATGTGTCTTGCCTGAACTAATAGTTAAGATACAGTTTAATGCTAAATATATAACATTAAGACACTGGGACTTTAAAAAGTAATTAATTTGCACATTTTGTTAATGAAATGAATTTTTAATGTTCACTTGATTATCTTGTGGTATTTTAAAGAGAAGTGATTTTATCCAAAACATTGCTTCTGTTTCTTTTATTCTGCATATGCTAATTTACATGATTAATTTTGAGAACATCTGCATATAATTCTGTATGCTTAACAGTGGTGAGATCACACTGCTTTCAAATAACTGCTACAGCTTTCACTTTCCAGATAGTCTCAGATTTGTATCTAATTGCGATGCCAAACTTACAAAGGTGCCAAAGTATAAGTGTGTAATTATGTAATTTTCTCTTGATCTTTCAGAGTCTTCCTGCGAGCAATTAATCAGTATGCAGATATGCTAAACAAAAAATTTCTTGACCAAGCCAACTTTGAGTTACAGGTAAGAGAAAATATAAACAGTATATTTGGTACTAATGTTAATGTTTTAATAAATTTCAGGTACAAACCAATAGTTTTGATATATCTATTTGTTGTTATGCATCTCTTCCTTGGAGTGTGAATGCTGAATTTATACAATGTCTTCTGTGACATGCTAAACTAAACAAATAACCGAAACACCTCTGTACTTTGAGGAAACTGGCATCCAGATCCAAATGTCATGGCCTGTCCCCCCTCTTTCTGGAGCCAGGTTGAGCCAAAAGCCTGGATTTGAATAGCAATGATTTTTGAGATTAAGAGCCAGATTAAGACATTCCAGGGCTTTAGGAGCGGGAACAAGGGAGGTAGGTTCCCTCTCCCCTCAGAAGAAGCAGGGGTGGCAGCAGATTCTTCTCACCCCTGGAGAAGGAGGGGTGGCAGCACGTAGGACTTCTTGCTACTTACTCCAGCAGCTGAGGTGTATCTGCTTGGGCAGCTGGGCCAAGCCATAGCACTCCCTTTCCTCCTGCCATGCACAGCATTCTCTGCTGGTGTTGTGTTGGTGGGGTAGCCCAGAACAGTCTGTCTTGGAGTTAGCACTCCATTGAAGTGCATAGAGTAGGTCCCCGTTTTAGAGACATTGTTTCAGGCTGTCTGCAGACTCAGATAGACATGTCTGCATCAGTCACACAAATTTCAAACTTTTCTTCCCAATCATGAGGACAAGAAACTTACTTGCAAAAATAAAAGATGCTATTTTGATCTAATCACATGATTCCAGGAGCTGGGGAATTAGGCACAAGCCTATAATGCCTATACCATAACCACCAGTCCTGTTTGAGAAAATGTTTAAACATCCAGATGCAAACTTTGCAACTCAGGCCCATCTGAAATCTAAACTACAACTGGATCCCATTAAATTTAAAAATAATTCAGTTTTTGAGATGATTATAAAAAATTTTAATGAGTCAAACTGTCAAGTGAATATGAGAAGTACGGGCCAGGGGCTCAAAAACTGGGGATGTAGTTGCATTCCTCAATTAAGGATGGAAGCATTGTAGGCTATATTCTGATTTAGAGGTGTCCTGTTGGGTCTCCAAAATGTCATCTGAGGGCTGCAAACTTTCAGATTTAAGGGCCCTCTGACTTTGGCACAAAGCTGCATCTTCCTTTCCATGTGTATTTGTAGATGTGTATTTGTGGAAACAATGACTGATTTAGAAATGGCATCAGACATCGATAGATTCATTGACTAAGTCCAGAAGGGATTGTGATCATCTAGTCAGACCTCCTGTACAACACAGGCCATATGACTTAATTGAATTACTTTGTGTTTGAACTGGAACATATCTATTTAGAAAAACAGCCCATCTTCATTTAAAAATTGCAAGTGATGGAAAATCCACCACAGTTCTTGGTAAGTTGTTCCAATGGTTAATTACCCTCACTTAAAAAGTTGCTGTTTATTTCCAATCTGGATTTGTCTACCTTCAACTTCCTGAAAGTAGATCTTGTTGTACTTTTGTCTGCTAGACTGAAGAGTCCATTATCAAATTGTTGTTCCCCATGAAGGTACAGTACTTATAAGCTGTGTCACCACTTAACCTTCTCTTTGTTAAAATAAACAGACCCAAAAGACCTCAATCATTAAAACACATGATTTCCAATACTTTAATTGTTCTCATGGTTCTTCTTTGAACCGTTTCCAATTTATCAACATCCTTCTTGAATCGTGGACATCAGAAATGGGACAGAGTATTCCATTAGTGGTTGCCCCAGTGCCAAATACATTGGTAATATATAATCTTTCAACTCCTACTTTATATTACCCATTTATATATCCAAGGATTGCATTAGCCCTTTTTGGCCAGTGTTGCACTGTGAGCTCATGTTCAACTGATTATCTACCATGACCCTCAAATCTGTTTGAGTCACTGCTTCCCAGGCTAGAGTCCCCTAAACTGTAAGGATGGCCACCTTCTTGATCCTAGATTTATGACTTTACATTTCACTATATTAAAACACACTGTGTTTGCTTGAGCCCAGCTTACTCAGTGATCCAGATCACTCTTTGTCAGTGACCTGTCCTCTTCATTGTTTAGTACTCCCCCCAATCTTTGTGTCATGTGCAGACTTTGTCAGTGATGATTATGTGTTTTCTTTCAGGCCATTAATAAAAACGTGAAATAGCGTAGGGCGAAGAACTGATCCCTGTTGGACCTCAGTAGAAATACAGCCACTTGAGGATGACTCTCCATTTATAATTACATTTTGAAACATATAATTTCACCAGTTTTGAATCCATGTAATATGTGCTGCATTGATTTTGTAGTTTATTAATCAAGAAGTCATGTGGTAACATTCAGTTTCTGTATTTCTTTCATCTTTTCTTTTCCAAGATGTTTTGCTTTCTGATTCTTTCTGTTTTACCCCCAGCTTATTTTCTCCTCTGCAGTCTATCTTGTTCTTCCCTAAGGTTGTCTGCCTATCTCTTTCTCATATACATACAATACGTGCACACGCACAAACACACATGCTCACCTTTGATATTTCTTTATAATCCTTTTTTATTAATTCATTAGTTTTCTTCTATTTTTGAATTGTAAATTTTTTTCTTGGCTTGTTAAATCTGTTCTGCCAATTCCCTTCTCAGTGGTCTACTCTTCCCCACAACAAGAAATGGCTCAAATGCTAAATTGCCTTTTTTCTTCTGAAAGTGAAGGGCCCCAGAACGCTTCCCCATATCTTATTCCTCAAAATCATCCCAAAGCCTTAAAGGCCTGAGTATTTCCCAGTCCCTTTCTTATTAGCACTAATTGTGTTGAACTCACACATCATTTCTTCCAGGTGGTCCTAGTCAGTTTCACTCCACTGCCTTTCTCCTTGCCTGGAAAACTGCTGTGTGAGCACACGAAGCAGTGCAACTGAAAGACTGCTTCTTGTTTTGAGTAACAGGAAAAATCCTGTTCAGTGTTGGAAATGCTGTGGCCTGCCATGTGTGACACTCATTTTCATTTAGTTAATTTTGGTAGGTTTAGTTGCAAGGAGATAAGTCACAAATGACATTGCAGCAGATGAAAGGTGAAAGGAGGGGACTAACATGTCCGTAGTGGAAATCATACTTTTATTCTGATTTATCACAATATAGTCTTATGCCATTGTCATAATGTAAGCAAAGAAAAATTCCCTCTTCTCCACCCTAGCATCTATGAAGTCTCAGTCAGTAGAACAGTTCTGGGTGGTAAACAGCAAGGTGAATCTAGGTTGTCTGCACTTGAAATCAGAGTTAAGTGTTTCTTGCTCTGAGCAGTTTTCTACCTAATTTGTGGCAAATCTCATATATGGGCCAAATTCGCTCTTCTGCAGTTGGCAGTTTTGCATGTGAGAGAAGGCACAACTGCAAAATGGAGTTTCAGTCAACCTGACCATGTCTTGACACTGATAATCGTCCTCATTACAGCCCTGCTCTCACGTTCCTTTTTGATGGAAAGTTAGGCCTTGCCTAGATGAGAAAGTTGCACCTATTTAACTTAAGGTATAATTTTTAAACCAATTTAGTTACAGTGGTGTAAAAGGCTGTGTGAATGCCCCTATTTTGGGTTAAACAAACCTTATTTCAGTTCATTTTAAATTGTTTAGATATTTGTTTAAGATAAACCATTCAGAACACAATAAGCGTGTCCACGCACTGTTTTGTCCCAGTTTAATTAAATTAGTATAAAATCACACCTGAGGTTAAAATCAGTGCAACTTTCTCGTGTAAACAAGCTGTCATTCAGAATGTTGTGGTGTGGTAGCTCTGGTATTATCTAGTGATCTCAGATTTCCTGGACCTATTTCAATTTGATTTATGACATGACTGTCCTAGATAGTCCTGGTCTGGTTGGTAAATGATCTCTGGGTAAAGAACAATAGAAAAATGTCCTTGCTGATTATTTTAAATCTCTATGAGTGTTCACCACAAGGAATTGCTTTGGTTGTGAGCCCATGTAGGTATAGATGGCAGTGGCACATTGGGTGTCTCCATTAGTTTCTCTGAGATGATCCAGCTCTTCTCCAAGAATTCTCCTATGAGGAATACTGCAGGATTCTGTTCATTCATCCCTCCTGCTACTGTGAAGTTACTAGGAGAGTTGGTGAGGTAGTTTGGTTTGCTCTTCCATCAATATGCTGAAGATACTCAACTCTAAGTTACCTTTTCATCAGACTCGGACAGTGCAGTCTCTCAATTTTACTAGTGTCTGCCTGAGTGTGAGGTTTGGATGAAGACACACGGGGAAGTTAGTGCTCAGTAAGCTAGGGTGTGAATTTAGAGTGCACTAGCTAGTCAGCAGTAACTCCCTATGTGGACACTCTTACTGTGCACAAAGGGTGCCCTGAGGTGGTTTAGCTTAGTACATTTCCAAAGTCTATTAAGCTAATGCACACAAAGGAACTTTTAGTGCACAGTAAAAGTGTCCACGCAGGGAGTTAGTGGAGTAACAAGTCCACTCTTTTCAACTTAATTCAGTATATAACTATTGATCTGTAGAGCTCTGCACTGATTTGGGGCCTGGCTATCTTAAAGACTGCTTCTCTGCTTTTGTTCTGTCTTGACAATTGAGATCAGCTAACACGGCCAGATTTAAACATTTGAGGATCCGTTGCAGGGTTTCTCAGTGTGGAACCATCATTTCCACTGTTCAGTCCACAAAGCCTGAATAACATGGTGGGCCAGATTCTCTTTACAGCAACAGTGCAAAAGGGCCATAATCTGGTCACCAAGGTGCAGCTCTCTGCTGTCAGAGAACTCCCTGCTGGCACAGACATGCCACAGCTGGGTCCTCCACCTGTAGCACTCCACCCTTCCTGGTATGGGGGAGGCAGGTAGAGGGTGTGACAGAGCAGAGTTCATCTATGCCTATCCTCTACTAGCATAGGACCCATTAAAAACCCTATGCCAGTGGCATCACTTAGGGCAGGTCTACACTTACTTCCTGGTCCGGCCGTAAGCAATCGATCTTCTAGGATCGATTTATCGCGTCTTGTCTAGACGCGATAGATCGATCCCGGATCGATCCCGGAAGTGCTCGCCGTCGACGTCGGTACTCCAGCTCGGTGAGAGGAGTACGCGGTATCGATGGGGGAGCCTGCCTGCCGCGTCTGGACCCGCGGTAAGTTCGAACTAAGGTACTTCGAATTCAGCTATGTTATTAACGTAGCTGAATTTGCGTACCTTAGTTCGAAGTGGGGGGTTAGTGTGGACCAGGCCTTAGAGCACCCTGGGAGCTGCTGAATGTCGTGTTGAATCTGGGGCTAGCCCAGAGAACTGGTGAGCCATAACCGGACTCCTTCCCTCCTCTCCCTTTAGGAGATAGTACGAGAGATACCCGACTAAACTAATGTATTTTGTTTGTGTCACCTAGAGATTTCTTTATAGTAGTAGACTTTTAAAAATCGATTAAATATTTTTATAGAGTTTTGAAAAATGTATATTTCCAATAAGTAAGCTGTACATTATGTCTGCCACCGCAAAAAATAAATACACTGATCTTGCACAACCTTTGCAGCGCTGGGAGACCTGTTGGCAACTTCCCAAGAGCTTGAGGGCCCTACCTAATTTGCATATAAATTTAGTTTTTAATCAGATAAATGCACGCACATTTATTTATTTATTTATTTATTTATTATTTAATTATTTATAGAGCTCTGTGAGTATGCAGAGTGCTTCAGAAAATACTTAGGAAAATGCTTTGAGGTCTGCAGTGAATAGTGTATCAAAAGGAGCGAACACTGGCAATAGTTCTCTGAAACCAAATTCTGAGGTAGCCACACACAGTGGAATGCGGGCTGGAGACTGTTAACATTATTACAGGTTTGTGATTTGTTGAGATTCCTTATAGGAAACTTCTTTTGATAAGTACTAGTGAAGTTACTCAAGGATCAGTCTTGGGACTGATTATATTTAATACTTTCATTAATGACCTTGGCACAAAAAGGAGGAGTGTGCTAATGAAACTTGCTGATGACATGAAGTGGGGAGGCATAATCAATACAGGGAAGGATTGGAATATTATACAGGAGGAACTGCCTGACTTAGAGGATTGGATGAATAGAAATGGGATGAAATTTAATAGTACAAAGTACAAGTTCGTGCATTTATGGACTGATAACAAGAATTTCTGCTATAAGCTGGAGGCTCATCAGTTAGAAACACCAGAGGAGGAGAAGAACCTGGATGTATTAGTCGATCATCGGATAACTATGAGCCACCAATGTGATGTAGCCATGAAAAAGGCAAATGTGATCGTAGGACATATGAGGCAGGGTATTTCCAGTACAGATAGGGGAGTGTTAATGCCATTATACAAGGCATTAATAAGACCTCATTTGGAATACTGTGTACAGTTCTGGTCACCCAAGTTCAAGAAAGATTACTTCAAACTGGAACAGTGGCTTAGAAGGGCTATTAGGATGAACAGGTGAATGGAGAATCTATCTTAGGACAGGAGCCTTAATATAAACAGTATGGAGATGGACTAAGATCTCTTCAAGAAGGCGATGTCTGTTTTTTCTATTAATATTTATGTGCATAAATTATGTATTTTAAGATGTTTTGTAGGTGTGTAGAAGAACACTCCAGAGATTTAATAGTATTTATTCTTGTCATCTCTCTGATTTTCAGCTTTGGAACAACTACTTCCACCTGGCTGTTGCTTTTCTTACACAAGAATCTTTACAACTGGAGAATTTTTCAAGTGCTAAAAGAGCCAAAATACTTAACAAGTAAGTCCTATTCCCAATATAAAATCATGGGCAAGAACTTGAGGGACTATTAACATAATTTTACTTTGGTTCCTTAGATAAATCCATACAAATTTAGATGTAATCGTGATGTACTGAAATGTTGGTTTTAAAACTATGAATCAAATATAGCATATGTTCCTAGCAGTGAATCAAGGTCTGAAATGGCTTATGCTGCAGAATGTTCATAGTCAAGACTTTCAGAAGTATGAACATATTCTAAAAGTAGATTTTTTAAATCCTCTTTAGGTTTGTGCTTATTCTAATCTCATTTCACTTGTATTCTTTATTGCCTAATTCCTAAAGGCCTTTTACAGTGAAACTTCATAACTACAGTCAGTGTCACTGTGATATCCCTGAAGAATGTTTTGTTGCATAGCTGCAGACTTGTATGGTTTCCTGGTCAAAAGGGATTACATTGCTACCTCTGGACAGGGAATTTGAACTGTCTGGATTGAAGTTCTAAATTTCACAGCAAATAAAACCTGTCAAAAGGAGAAGACACAAAGATTTGGGAACACAGAGGATTTGCCCACTGTATTACTGTCTCCATTTCTTTAAATTCAGGTATAGTGTGCCCTTCCTTCACTGAGCAAACAAGTTAGAGACAATAAAAATCAATCTAGTGGTTTTAAACAATGTGTGTGGACTCTTTCAAAATCCAAATATTTTTAATAAATTAGTGCAAAAAATCTGAATTTAAATTTTCAACCAAAACACTGCATTAATGGCACACATGCTAGGAAGTTCAATATTATGGTTCCCTCACCACATCTATCTCAGCACCCTTGGGCTTATGTAGTCTTTTGTATCACTGTTAGTTTTGCCTGACAGCATAGAAGTGCAGTATGTCTGTGTTATGGTAAGAGGCAGCATAGCTCAGTGTAGTGCTACTCAACCTGTGGGGCATTTCTTTAATTGGTTCATGAAGAACCCCCTTATGGGTTGGGCTGTCTAGCTGAGGGGAGATAAAGTCCCAGCAAAAATCCAGTGAGAGTATCCAGTAGAGACCTGGGAGGGGGAAGGAAGGAGCAATTCACACAGGTCCCCTCTACTTTCTGCTACTTTTCCCCCTGTTCCACCCCAACCCAGCCAAACTAGAGCTCCTCCCTTTCCTAATTCTCTGTCCTCCTGCCCACACAGCACTCAGCTGAAGCAAGGAAACTTTTGTTGCTAGGACATGTAGAGCCAGCTTCACAGCCTTTGAAACCAGTGATACCCAAAGTTGAATGCCTTGCTGTTGGAGGACCCTCCTACCCGACAGTCCCCCATTTAGCACTAGCCTTCTCCCCACAAAATGTCCACGAAATCATGTCATGGCCCAAACCTCAGAGCCCTTTTAGGCTACAACCAGATGGCAGCCATAAGTAGTATGGGAGGCAACAGGTAAGGTTCATCATTAGGATTAAATGTGCTCACATTTTTAAGGTTGAATCTTTATTTTAACCAAAGGAAAGATCAATTACTCCTCCTTGGCATCTAGTTTTTTCAATCTATCTTCATAGGTCATGTTTTCTTGACCTTTAGTCATTTTTGTTGCTCTCCAATTTGTCCACATCTTTCCTGAGATGTGGTGCCCAGAACTGGATATACTATTCCAATTGAGGCCGTATCAGCAAGGAGTACAGCAGAAGAATTACTTCGTGTCTTGCTTACAACATTGCTGCTGATATATCCCAGAATGATGTTTGCTTTTTTTGCAACAGTGTTGACTCATATTTAGGTTGTGATCCACTGATGAAGATATTGATCAGAACTGGATGCAGGACCAATCCTTGTGGGACCCCACTCAATATGCCTTACCAGCTTGACTGGGAATGGTTTTCCAACCAGTTATGCACCCACCTTATAGTAGCTCCATCTAGGCTATATTTCCCTAGTTTGTTTATGAGAAGATCATGCAAAACAGTATCAAAAGCCTTACTGAAGTCAAGATATACCACATCTACCACTTCCCCCCATCCAGAAGGCTTGTTGCCCTGTCAAAGAAAGCTGTTAGGTTGGTTTGACATAATTTGTTATTGACAAATCCATGTGACTGTTACTTATCACCTCATTATGTTCTAGGGGTTTGCAAATTAATTGTTTGATTATTTGCTCCATTTTCTTTCTGTGTACTGAAGTTAAGCTGACTTGTCTGTAATTCTCTGGGTTGTCCTTATTCCCTTTTTTATGGTTTGGCACTCTATTTGCCCTCTTCCAGTCCTCTGGAATCTCTCCTGTCTTCCATGAATTTTCTAAGATAATCACCAATGGCTCAGATATCTCCTCAGTCAGCTCCTTGAGTATTCTAGGGTGTATTTCATCAGGTTCTGCCAACTTGAAGACATCTAACTTGTCTAAGTAATTTTTAACTTGTTCTTTCCCTATTTTAGCCTCAGATCGTACCCCATTTACATTGGCATTCACTATATTAGACGTCCGATTGCTAATAACCTTTTTGGTGAAAACTGAAGCAAAAAAGGCATTTAGCACTTCTGCCATTTCCACGTTTTCTGTTATTGTCTTTCACCCCTCGTTGAATAATGCGCCCACCCTGTCCTTGGTCTTTCTCTGCTTTTAAGGTATTTGTAGAATGTTTTCTTGTTAATTTAACCTCATTTTGTGCCTTGGCCATTCTAATTTTGTCCCTACATGCTTGTGTTGCTTTTTATATTCATCCTTTGTAATTTGACCTAGTTTCTACTTTTTATAGGACTCTTATTTGAGTTTCAGATCATTGAAGATCTCCTGGTTAAGCCAGGATGATCTCTTGTCATACTTCTTATCTTTCCTATGCAGTGGGACAGTTTGCTCATATACCCTTAATTATGTCTCTTTGAAAAACTGCCAACTCTCTCAAACTATTTTTCCTCTTAGACTTGCTTCCCATGGGATCTTATCTATCAGCTCTCTTCTAAAGTCTGCCTTCTTGAAATCCATTGTCTTTATACTGCTCTTTTTCCTCCTACCATTCCTTAGAATCATGAACTCTATCATTTCATGATCACTTTCACCCAAGCTGCCTGCCAGCTTGAAATTCTCAACCAGTTCCTTCCTATTTGTCAAAATAAAATCTAGAACAACCTCTCCCCTAGTTACTTTCTCCATCTTCTGAAATAAAATGTTGTCTCCAATGCATTCCAAGAACTTGTTGGATAATCTGTGCCCTGTTCTATTATTTTCCCAACAGATGACTGGGTAGTTGAAGTCCCCCATCACCACCAAGTCGTGTGCTTTGGATAATTTTGTTAATTGTTAAAAAAAAAAAAAAAAGCCTCATCCACCTCTTCTTCCTGGCCAGGTAGTCTACAGTAGATCCCTGCCATGACATCACCCTTGGTTTTTTTGTTTTTTTTTCCCCCCTTTTATATTTACCGAGAGACTTTCAACAAGTCTCTTCCTGTTTCCATCTCAACTTCAATGCAAGTGTATACATCTTTAATACACAAGACAACACCTACTCGCTTTTTTCCCCGCCTGTCCTTCCTGAGCAAGTTGTACCTTTCTACACCAGTATTCCAGACCTGTATTATCCCGCCAAGTCTCTGTGATTCCAACTATGTCATAGTTGTGATTATTCACTTGTATTTCTAGTTCTTTCTGTTTATTCCCCATACTTCTTGCATTAGTATACAGACATCTAAGATACCGATTTGATTTCCCCTCTATGTAACGTGTTGTCTCTCCTTTGTCCCTGCTATAATTGCCCATGATCCCCCCCGAATTCCGACCCATCACCCAGGTCTCCGTGTTTTTGATTTACCTATGGGCTTTTGTTTCCTGCCCTCATAGAACTTAGTTTAAAGTTTGTCTCAGCAGGTTAGCCAATCTGTATCCAAAGATACTCTTCCCTTCCTCGATAGGTGGACCCCATCTACACTCAGCAGTTCTTTTTCCCAGAACAAGATCCTGTGGTCAACGAAGGCAAAATCCTCCTTGCAACACCACTTGTGCAGCCATCCATTCACTTCCAGAATGCATCTCTCTCTGCCTGAGCCCTTACCCTTGATATTGCTGTTCAAGCTCTAATTCGCCCCACCATGATGTTCAAGACACTGGCTTTGGAACCTTTGCTTTATTTGACCATTAAAACATCATTTGTAATCACTGTGTGTATACAGACATCTAAGATACTGATTTGATTTCCCCTCTATGTTCCCTGTTGTCTCTCCTTTGTCCCTGCGATAGCTCTGTAGGAAGAAGTCTTGTAGTATAAATCTGGCCTTACAGTGACAGCCATCTCCTGAATGTTGTAAAAACATTTCCTCTCTATAGGATCTCTGCCAAGACCACAAGTTAGGATTAGTTGAGCACATTGCCTAAATACTGAAAGCTGCATATGTGGTAGATGTTTGAGGCCATTTTCAGAAGGCAAATCCTTTGTGTCATAATACAGTAAAGCCCACCCTCTTAAAAGAGATCTGTTTTCTTAATCTTAATATTATACAGTCTTGTACTGCGGCATGAAAACTATGTAGCCGCTGAAAGAATGTAGTTGTAGCAATTAGGTATCTAAAGAATGATGTTCAACCACCTACCAGACAGAGGCACTTAAACCCCCCCCCAATCCCTCTCTCCACCCAAAAACTCTCAAAACCCAAAGAGTTCACAAACCACTCAAAGAACACAATGAGATCAGCTGTAGCTGCACAGGCAAGCATATCACAGCAGAGGGGTGCTGTAATTTCCTGGAGTGTGGTGTCTCATGCCACCAGCACCATTTCAGCTTTGTTTATTCCAAGAAGCATGATAATTATGCTTAGATAACCATGCCTCAAGATTTGCCTTACTGCAGTCTGAAAAAATCTGGGCAGTTTACATTTTTTATATAGGCTGAAGTTTTCAAAGGTTCCTAAGGGATTTGGACACCCAATTTGCAGTAAAATCAATACATCTGAAGAAGTGGGGATTTTACCCACAAAAGCGTATGCCCAAATAAATCTGTTAGTCTTTAAGGTGCCACCAGACTCCTCCTTGTTTTTGTGGATACAGACTAACATGGCTACCCCTCTGATACTTAGTAAAATCAATGGAAATTGGATATCCAGATCCCCATGTGATAGCTTTGAAATCTGAGCCTCTGTGTGTGTGTGTGTGTGTGTGTAATTATGTATACACACATACACTACAGAGAAAGAATATATGACGGGGTGGTATTTTATGGACATGAGTTTGGGATGCTGATATTAGTTATGAGAGGTAGAGTCGCAGTTGAGTTATGTAGATGACCCACAAACTCATGTTAATAAAACCTTCATACCGCACTATTGTGTATTCTCTATGTGCCACATACATTACAGCTATTTTACTGTAGTAAACTCAGAGTTTTAATTTGTTTTTATTGGGACTGTTTGTCAAATCCCTGTGTGAGAAAAGCTAGGTTATTAACCCGAGTCCAAATTACAGGGCTATAAAATCCTCCAAAATGTACCTGAGAGGTTTTTTTTAAAACCTGAAAATGTTACAGCCTTAAAATCCATAATCTCATACCCTTCCAGAGCTAGATGGGAGTGTTGGACCCCACTGAGGAGGCTGGGTGCCTTCCTGTGTCTGGCCCCGCAGGCCTGTAAGATAAGGAACTTCAAAATCATGACATTTTTATGTATAGAAAGGTAATTACTGGCATAGGACTGAATATTACACATCTCAAGCCTCAGGCAAGGGTAACTTTAAGAGGAGGAAATGCTTCTCTGACAGGCTGAGGATTTTGTATTTTTTGTTTTTTACTTTTAATATATGTGTCTGAAGCTGTTTGGGAGAGTGGGGATTGAATGTTAGAATAAGTCCCAGGCAGCTAGCTTAGTAGGTAGATAATATGGTCATAGATATATAGTAAATTATATTTAATTCTCACATACCCATGCAATTTCACATACCTTTCCAAGTTGTTATATGGAGATCACCTCCACATTATATATTTGTCTCTCTGTGTCTTTATTTATTTAAATTGTGTGTGTGTGTATTTGTATAATATAAGTATGTTTGTATATATACACACATTTATAAGGTACATATGCATCATGTATGTAGAGGTAATACTGGCATGATAAATTGTGTATGTATATAATGTTTCATACATTCACAGAATTAACTGTGTGTGTGTGTGTGCATATAGACATGCAAATTTCCTGTATCCATCCATGAAACAGTAGGAGATTCAAGGAGTAAAGAGCAGGGAGAATTTGGGAGGTGGTCGGACTGGAAATGCCTTATATTTTAATCTCGGAGGAAGAGATTGTGAATGAGATTGTTCACCCACCCATATAAGGTGAGAACCTTATAAGGGTTTCTTTTTCCACCAACCTGTGCTATACACTGCACTATGGAGGAAATGTAAGAGATCAACAGACTTTCACCATATTCTTCATGTCTGATAATAAAAGTAAATAGACCAGGTCTTAGACAAGACTAGTTATTAAAATTTGCTGATTTATAAAACTCTGTGATAATGGTTTTACAAATTATAATTTTAATAGAATTAGATTTGTCTAGGCAATAAAATGAGAGAAGAAATTGCTCAGCAACCAATAAAGTCATGGGTCTTGAAGCACAAGATTTTATTTACTTGTGTAACAAATATCACTCCTACTCAGCTGGGATTTTATGTGTGTTAAATAGCAGCAGACGTTTTTAAAAATACAGTAGAAGCTCTTTAATCCACACTAATATCAGGGAGACCCTTTGCCAATTACCAAATGTTGTGATTTTGCTAATATGAGAAAAGCAGTGTTTTAAAAAATGTATACTCCATCAAGCAGTATATTCTAGGAACTCACTAGGGCCCTGATCCAGCCCTGATCAAAATCATTTACATTGATTTCTGGGAGCTGGATTAGGCCCCAATCTTCATTACTGTAGAGGGGCTCCATGATAGTTTGCTAAGTAGTGAGTACTGGGTTGGGATGTGAAGCATTAGTGCCATCAGCCCTGTTTCAGGACATCACTGCTTCCCAGCATAAACTTCAAATCCAAAAATCCCAAATCATTGTGGCTTTGTGTTGGTGATGTAAGATGTTGTCATGTGTTTCTCATTTCATTTTCTAGGACAATCTATATATGCTAAGAATATGTATAAAAATAAAATATCCTTTAGGCTGTAAAGCTGTGCAGTATGCTTTCTTCCACCATTAGAGACTGAAAAACGGAAAATACTCTCATTAATCTACACAACCACCCCCATGGTCCCAAAGAACAGTTATGTAATACGCAGATATGGCAAAGAGAGATTCCCACAGGGGACTCGTTTGTGCTCTCTTTTGTAGAAATTGCAATATATTTCCTTCAAGGGAGAGCTAGTAGTGTAGAGATTAGAACCCAGGCCTGGGAGCCAGAGCTCCTGACTGTGCTACCATGCATCTTCTGGGTGGCTTAAAACCACTGTCTATTTTAGAGTACTAAATGAATGGTGCTAATTGTATTATTAGTATAAGTTGGTATTTTGGAATTTTAGGGATCTTAAGAATTTTTAAATGCTACTCAAATTGTCATATCCAATTCATTTTCCCTACTGCCCTTTATAAAGAAATGTGTTCTTTTTTAGGTATGGTGACATGAGGAGGCAAATTGGTTTTGAGATCAGAGACATGTGGTATAACCTAGGTGAGTAGCCAGAGCACTTCTTGTTTTGATCACTCATTTTGTGTGTATATTCATTTAAAACTATATAGCATTTAAAAAAAACTTTCCTAAAATAATGGAATAGTTGCAAAGTCACACACTCAGAATTCAGGTAATGCCAGAGTTGAAGTTTCCCATGCAAGCTTAATTAAGATAGTCTTTTATTACATGATTACACAGTATCTTTTCCACAGTACTCTCACCTCACACAAGATAGTTGATGCTCAGTTAATGGCAACTGTTCAATTATTTTTTTAATCCTCATCTGTGTACATGATCCTGTCACTGGAGACTGTATCATATGCACAAGGGACAGAATGAAAGTTGACGACTAACAATTCTGGTTGACGGTGGCGGTTCAGTTCTCTGTGGCTATGACCAACAACTCAATAAGGTTGAGTTTCATGTGTCCTCTACTGGCTCATGCTGCTGTGTGATGGTATAAAGGGTGAAGCTGCCCCTGACCAGCCTCAGTTCCTTCTTGCCTCCCATGATCGGTAGTGGGATTGTGTTGACTTGCTTTCCAAGTGTTCTCCCTTTCAGATTTTTTGTATATAGTTATAGTGTGCTTGGCATAGTTAATAGAGCTTTTCAATATGTTTCATTTATTTATTTATTTATTTTAGATATTTAATGTTACGTAGAGCAGTAGTTCTCAACCTGAGTTATGCAGACGTCTTCTAGACACAGGCAGCAGCTTCCTTCTTGCCCCGTGGGTGCTCAATCCCCACTCAGCCCCAGGCCTCGCCCCCATCCCACCCCTTCCCCCAAACCCGCACTCCGGCTCTTCAGCTGATCTTCAGCAGGAAGCACTAGGGGGGAGAGGGGAACTGGCTGCTAAGCACCTGCCAATTTTTTTGTTTTGTTTTTGTTGGGTGCTCCAGCCCACAAAGTCGGTGCTCCAACCCTGGAGCACCCATGGAGTCAGTGTCTGTGCTTCGAGAAGGTACAGCAACTCATCTCAATATTTGCCTAGTTTTACAACAGGCTACATAAGAAGCAAAGTCAGTACAAACTAAAATTCCATATGGACAATGATTTGTTTATACTGCTCTATATACTATGCACTGAAATGTAAGTCCAATATTTATATTCCAGTTGATTTACTTTGTAATTACATGGTAAAAATGAGAAAGTAAGCAATTTTTCAGTAATAGTGTGCTGTGACACTTTTATATTTTTATGTCTGATTTTATAAGCAGGTCATTTTTAAGTGAGGTGAAATTTGGGGGTACACAAGATGAATCAGACTCCTGAAAAGGTTGAGAGCTACTGACTTAGAGTGTTGGTTCCTGTGTATCTGGGTACTGACTCCCGGTACCGGGGCATGCCTCTGTCTTTGAGCTTTAAGCCTTGCACCCACGGCAAGAAGTCAGTGCTGGTGAGTGACCCTCACTCCAGGTGTCTGAAGCGCCTTGGGGAGGGTCCCATTCCGGGACAGGTGTAAAATATGTTGAGACTACAAGCCCCAGATTAAGGAGGACAGAGAGGTGAGACTGTGTTACCTCCTCATGAAGGCGGCCATCAGAACCTTCCCACTCAGGACGGGGGCCAAGAGCTTCTGCTTCCATCAGAAATGGCTATACAGATATTGTGGAGAGTCAGCGCCGCTCTCCTTCCCCACTACTGAGGAAGAAGCATAGACAAAATACTTCGAAGGAGCCAGCCTCCACTAGGAGATCAAGGTCTCCAGTTCCATCTGCCAGCAAGGAGGCTGAAAGGCAGGGTAGAGTGTCCCTGGAAAAGAGTTGCTCACTGGTACCGACTTCATCTTGTGTGGGGTCGTTGACACTGGTGCCTCTGTGGTCGAGACCTACCCACTCTGTGGTACCAACCCCTTTGATGCAACATCAGCAGCATTTGGAGAACAGGTCAGTATCCACGATGCCAGAGGCATATGCTGCATGCTGGATCTCCTATGCCTTTCAGCACCAGATTCTTCAGCTATTCTGGAGACAAATCTTCTGGTACTGATGAATCTGCAGTCTTTGTTGGGCTCCTTTGCGAGTAGCAGTATCCAACGTTCAGTATAAGGGCTCACTTCAGACTATCCAGTGCCTCCTTGTCCAGTGCCATCTAGAGGCAAGCCCAACAAGCTGTACCTGGTACCTACGTCTCCAGAGACACACTGCCAGTCCTCAGTACTGCGTGGTACCACACTTTCCTGGTCAGGCAACTCAGGCTCTTCCTCAGAGTTGGAAGTAGGCTCCTGTGCCCCTCGCACCGGGAATAAAAGGCATCACTCACCTTAAACAAGAGGTACCGGGCAGAGGTCCCACAGTGGTCCAAGAACCCAGATCCATGAGCTGATAGAGGTTGGGGCCCCCTATCCTACCAACGGCTGTTCTGGAACCCATGAAAGTTTCCTCCCAGCACCAGATCCTCCCTGGTTCCTCCTTATCCCTGAACAGACATTAGGATAGCTCTCATGCAGAGACTCATGAGGTTACCCCCGTACCAAGATTGGTACTGAACCTGACCATCCTTCCTGACAGAGCCTCCTGCAGAGGAGGTACAAGAGACTCCATCTCAACTCCCTTTTTAGCTCCTTGTCATTATCACTGTATGAGGCAGCAATATCTGTGGTGGCTTCCTCTCTTTAGGATGACCTAGTAGGTCCTGTTAAAGAAGGTTGCTTCCTCTCTGGACATCCAGGTGGAGGTAGTGCAAGACAGCTCCCATAGACTGGTGGACATATTGGAGTCAGTGGAACCCTTTCATGTGGCTCTGCCTATAAACAAAGCTGTATTTGGAAGCCCACAAGGCTAATGTGGCAGATGCCATCATCTCTGCTAATGATAACCAAGAGGACTGAATGGAGATTCTGGTGACATTGTAAATAAGAAGAGGGCAGCATTATCTCCTGTAAATGTAAACAAACTTGTTTGTCTTACCGATTGGCTAAACAAGAAGTAGGACTGAGTGGACTTGTAGGCTCTGAAGTTTACATTGTTTTGTTTTTGAGTGTAGTTATGTAACAAAAAAAAAATACATTTGTAAGTTGCACTTTCACGACAAAGAGATTGCACTACAGTACTTGTCTGAGGTGAATTGAAAAATACTATTTCTTTTATCATTTTATTTAATAAAAAATAATATACACTTTGATTTCAGTTACAACACAATACAATATATATGAAAATGTAGAAAAACATCCAAAATATTTAATAAATGTCAATTGGAATTCTATTGTTTAACAGTGCAATTAAAACTACAATTAACCGTGATTAATTTTTTTTATCACTATTAATTTTTTTGAAATAATTGCATGAGTAAACTGCAATTAATCGACAGCCCCAGTAGAAAGATTTATTCTACTGCTGGCCTGCAGTTTTGTATCTCAAATCAGCAAGCCTTGCTCCACAGCAATGTCCTTAAATTCATGGACAAATTACCAGAAGGTGCGAGGCAGGAGTTTCAGACTGTATTGGAGGATGGCAAGCTTGTGGCTAGGACCACTCTTCAAGCTGCGTTGGATGTGATGGATACAACAGCCAGAGCCATGGCATCTGCAGTAATGATGCGCAAATGTTCATGGCTTCCATCATCAGTTCTTCCTCATGAGTTCTAGCAGACTATACAGAATCTCTCCCTAACCCTAACCCTAACCTCTTATCTCAGCAGGCTGACAAGAAACTTCACAGTCTTTGGGGATTTATACGCTTCTCCCTAAAAAAATACAGTTCCGCCCTCAAACATACCAGTGATGTTAGTCATTCATGTCTAGGCACCCTGACCAGTCTAGGAAGAAGGGGAAGAATCATAGGAGGAGACCTCTCCCTCCTCAATTTCTTCTTCTGACGGTGTTGCTAGGCAGCCCAATAATGCCAAGCAGTCGGTCTGACAGCTTGGTTGAGGGCAGTTTACATCACCCAAGTTTTTCCTACCCCTGTGTTTTCCAACAGATTATCCTACTTCCTATGTGCTTGGATCCATATTATCACAGATCAATGGGTTCTAAACATTGTGGAATTGGGGATACACTCTTCCATTTATTTCCGAACTTCCCTCCCATCCCTCCTTCCTCATCTCTCTTTAGACACCACTCTCATGAGGCTGTCCTCCTCCCAGACATGCAGTCTGTTCTCCATTTGGGAGCTGTAGAGGAGGTTCCTGCCCTCCACCAAATAAAAGGATTTTATTCACTTTACTTCCTGATCTCAAAGGCAAATGAAGGCTTAAGATCCATTCTAGACCTGCGAAGAACTGAACAAATATATAAATAAAATAAGTTTGTGTATGGTCACCCTAACCTTTATTATCCCCTTCCTGAATCCCAGCAACATTGCCCTCAACTTGAGGGATGCGTATTTCCATGTGGCTATCCCGTCTCCACTCAGAGGATTGTGTCATGGATTTCCTCCTGTATTCATGTGTGCTGTGACACTGCCAACATAATCCCAGCAACTAGAGTGATAGCACACTTCACTACATCTCAAGCAACTTCTGCAGCTTATCTGGCTCAAGTGCCTATATTAGAAATTTGTAGGGCTGCAACTTGGTCATCGGTGCATACCTTTGTGATTCATTGTGCCGTTTCTCAGCATTCCTGAAAAGACAGCAAATTTGGACAAATAGCCCTTCAGTCATTGTTCAGGTAGACTCAAGTCCCACCTCCAGATTGAACTTCTTGTGAGTCACTTGAAATGGAATGGACATGTGCGATGAAAATGACCCATGAACCACATTCATTTCCTTCAATATCAGTGTCTATGGTAAGAAGGAACTTAGAATGGCTCCACCCTTTATACCATTGTGCAGCAGTATGAGGCAGCAGAGGGTACATGCTCTGCCCCAACAGATACCACTAAGAGAAAAATCTCCAACTCTGGTGCACTATGCCCACACTCAGCTGAAGTGGAATGGACATGTGCAACACATATCAAAGAACAACAGTTACAGAACAGGTCAGTAACTGTTTTTTCTGTGTGGCTACTTCAGAATGATGTAGGACAGTCAGCAGGGCCTGGGAGCATGCACAA